AGTATTCATTAAGCATCTTTAAATCAGGACTCAACAATATTCAAGTTATTCTGTAAGCTCCCTGATAGCAGGAATTTTGTCTTATTCAGTACTAAATCCCCAGTGTCTAGTACAATATGGTCTATGGTAGGTATTAAAGAGATAGTATAATGAATCATGACTCATTTTTACAGAAAGTTATGTTTTTTATTACCCCACATCCATGCAGCCATGCCTACTTCCTCCTACCTCTTCCTCACAGCCCTCCCCATCACTGCCTCCACCTCTAGCCTTCCCTCCCTGCCAGTCGCCTAGGGCTGCCCTGTAGTCCTAGAGAGGAGTCGCTGCTGCTGCTGCTGCTACTGCTGCCACTACCGCTGCCACTACTGACACCACGTTGCTATATGCTGAGGAGTTCTGTGCACTGCAACACTGACTAGGAGAAACCCACTTCTGTGCCTGTACATAGGATCTGTGGAGGCTCTGGCTTCCGCAGCTGCTGCCTGGAAATGCATAGGTGCTAACGTCCTGACAGTAGGATTACCAGGTAAAATACAAGACTCTCAGTTAAATTTGAATTGCAGACAAACAACAAATAAATTTTTATTGTAAGTATGGGTTTTTTTTTGTTTTTTGGTGTGTTTTTTTTTTTTGTGCTAAATCTAGCAACTCTATTTAAAGAGTGAATTTTAACCAAGGAGATGCAGCACAAGATGTAGCTAGTTGATAAACACTCCCTTTCACCCAGATGGGCTATTCTAAAGTGCAGTAATTCATAAGACCTTCATGAAAATATCCTAAAAGATTGAGCAATTAACTGCTCTTGTTCTAAAGTGATAACCAGCTCAGTAACACCTATATTTATGTCCCCTTCTCTACTGCCTCACTTCCATTTTTTCCTTACTTCGGCCTCCCAGAGATAGCACTCCCCATTAAAGTGGCAGCCGGTGAATGAATATTGGTTGCTGTTTTTTTATGGCAGACTGGGGGAACCTAGGCTAGCACAGTACTTTTGGCAGTCGATTCTTCAAATAGAAAGTGAAACATGAAATAAATGATGATTTTGACAAAGTCAGGCATAGGAGCCTGCAGGCTTAAAATCCAGATTTGTTGAAACCCCTTCGAGTGGATACATCCCTCAGGGACAGATTCACTTTGATCAAATGTATGGTGATAGATTGTTAAATTAGAATAGTAATTTGTCACTACCATGAGAAATATCAATGTTCTATAGGCAAGAATACCATTATTGCCTTAACTAAATATATTCTATTCTTAAATCTGTTGTGTGTAAGAATTCAAATTATAATCCAGAGGATATCGGGATCTGTTATAGCCTGAGTGTATCCCTCCAAAATTCATATGTCAAAATCCTAACCCCTGACCACTTCCTCAGAATGTGATTGTATTTGGAGATAGGGCCTTTAAAGAGGTAACGAAGGTAAAGTGAGGTCATATGGTTGAGCCCTAATCCAGTATGACTGGTGTCCTTATAAGAGGAGATTAGGATACAGTCAGGCACAGAGGGACAACCATGTGAAGAAAAGGAGAAAATGGCAAGTCATGGAGAGAGGCCTCAGAATGAAACCAATCCTGCCAACACCTTAATCTTGGACTTGTAGCCTCCGGAACTATAAGGAAGTAAATTTCTGTTGTTTAAGCCACCCAGTCTGTGGTCTTCGTTAATGCAGCCCTCAAAAACTAATACAGGATCCTTGGAATCAGAACAAGTCAAGTTAGTTACAAAACTTGAATGATTAATGTCATTGGAATAAACTTGTCTGATTAATCATGCCCCACAATAAAGACAGTTCTATCCTGGGGTTACTTCACTATAACCTCCCACATGTAAACACAATAAGCAGTTGTCAGTTCTAAAAAGCTCAGGAACATTTTTATTTCATGGAAATATTCCTATGTCATGGAACTAAATCTTTGATCAGGTAGAAGTAGTTCTTAATAAATTCTTCATTTCATTTATTACCATTTATTTAGTTTTCAACTAAACACGAATAGTTCCTGCAGCTTCGTACTTAAAAATCACTTGCAGTTTGGATTATTGTTAGTATACTTTTTGTTAGAATGGTTAACTTCAGGTCAGCTGTTCTTTACTTTCATTTTCTGTTCTCTGTACTTACTATTCCCAAATTTGCATTAATGATTTCGTTGGAAAGAGGTAATTACTTTGATTTTGTTTTTAGGCTTTGTTTCTATACTGTCAATCTGAAAGAGTTTTTTAAAATATCAAGGTATATCACATTCCAGTTTTATATGTACTTCTTCTGTTACAAAATTCCTCTAAAGTGAACCTCCTAAAACTATAATTACATTTCATATGTGCTATAAAATTCGCTATTTAAAATAAATTACTCTGACTCAAAAAGGAATAACATTTGTTTGAACATTTAGAACATCTGGCATTAGTTTAAAGGCTACCAAATTCCTATGTAATCTATAATACTTATTAGAAATGTTCTTAATTCATGAATATATAATTATCCATATAATTATAAATAACTATAATTTTACTAAACATTGCTAATGAGGCAGAGTGCAATCAAGAAAAAATCAGAAGGAAAAAATCAGAACTATATTCTTGCTTAATGTTATATTTATTTTAAAAATATATTTAGCTTTCTTTGTTACTTTTAAAAGTAAAAATTGTGTGTAGGCAACATTATTAAAACTTCTAGTTAATCTTTAAGTCTACAGGTGCTTCTGAGAAGAAAGGGTTGTGTTGCTGGACCAGTAAATACCATTAAGTATGTGGTGAATACAAAAACAAATTGATGGCCAAGGTGGCACCTAACGCAGCAAAGGATATAAAGGAGGTTTCCTAGAAAAGTCATGTAAGCCGAGTTTCATAAGGAGTTAGTCATCTGAAGACAGTAGCATTTACAACATGATACAGAGGTAATGCAGGAAAAAGCTTGGCTCCTTTGGAAAACTGCAAGAAAGTCACTCAAGATGGCTGAGTGTGGAGTGTTTGAGGCCTTCCATCCTTGTCACTTCTCACCTGGCAATGACTACAACAAATACTATATGAGTTAAAAATAAATAAGTAAGAAAGCTGAGTCTATTAACTTACTGGAAAAAGGGGACCTACCCCATGAAGAATTTCACTGATTGCACCGAGGAGGAAAAAGTCAGGGGCTTTTGAAGTGTTAGAAAGGAGGAATTCATGGGATTTATGCTAACTGAGCATTGGAAAGTGGCGCTATAGATATAGGACTGAAAGAATACATAGATCTGTACAGTTAAAATAAAATAAAATAAAATCTCCCATTGTTCATTAGTGAGGAAAGTGTCTTTAGTTAGGTCCAGTGAGAAGTCTGACTTGCCAAGGTCACTGAGGTTTATGGACCCTTATCAGCTGCAGCCTGTTGTGTTGAAACACAAGAGTTAGTTGATATCTATTAGGCAAGCTCTGCTTTAAGTGGAAAATTTTCCTTTGCAATCTCCCTCTTCGTCTTTCCTCATTCTGAGATGCCAGGATGACCACACAAAGGATAAGCAAATGATCCAATTGTCTCAACCACCATCTTGGTTTTGGGTGCCATACCCACAGGATTTCATTGTGTTTATCCAAGTATTACCAGTCTCCTTTCAATGTGGTATACTCGGACTGTGCAACAGCAATTAAGGTCACATGAATAAAATGCTTAAACGCTTTATACTCTCCCTGGATGACAGCAACCTTAGACCTAACTGAACGGGCCTCTAGATGTAAGGCCTGAGAGTACCTTTAGAGATACCTGGGAGTAGGTAGGTAGCAGAGTGGTGCAGCAGAGGTGTGCTGGGCCCACAAAGATATCTGTGAGTGGCTGTAAAGACGAAAGAAAAACAAAAAGAATGTGGAGGCCTAGGCAAGGAAGTTTCAAGAAGGAGATAGTGGTCAGCAGTGTGAAATACTACAAAGTACAACAGGGTAAGTACAGAAAAGTGTTCAGACTTTGACCACAAGCATTGGTGACCTCAGCAGTTTCAGAGGGCTGAGGATGTGGAAAGTGGAAATAAAGACTGCAAGTGCTCAGTCCTTTCTCAAAGAACCTTGGTCTCTTTGGCTCAGGTACTGCCAGGCCCAATCTAGGTTTTACATTTCTATTTCAGGGCCTGAAATGTCATTCAGTGGTCAAGGTTGAAGGAACTTTAGAAATCATTGAACAACCTGGTCATTCTACAAATGAGGAGAGAAGCCCTGAGATGTGAAGTGAAATTTTTTTTCATTCAGTTTATGTATAATCTTAAATCTATAAATTCTATAGAAGATATAAAAACGTACATTTAAATCTTGAAGAGTTTCTGCAGTTTAAAAAAAAAAAGATTAAAAGGGTTAAAGGATTTTTTAAAAAGTTTTCACAGCCATGGTGTTTGGAATTATTAAATTATATTGCTGATCATCATGAGAAGCATTCCACTAAAGTCATGACCCTTCCTGTATTATTATTCAGGACACAATGGATAGATAACAACAGTAATAGTAATAGTAAAAATAATGACAATATTGATTACACTGAGTGCTTATTATATGCCAAGTGCCACTTAAACACTATCATCTCATTCAATCCTCTCAACAATCCTATTTTACAGAAGAGAAAAGTGAGGCTTCCAAGGGTTAACTTGCTTTAGTTTCAATAATTTGACTCAAAAGCCTTTTAACATTATGTACAATGCCTTTTTTGTTTGTTTATTGATTGGGCCACTAAAATACAAACGTGGTAAAAGGCTAGGGAATTTAGGAGACCGGTCATTTCTCTGGGGCGAGGTAAACTCTGCTTCAACACTATCCGTCCATCACATCACCACCCTGCATCCCACGTACACCCCTCACCCCTCCACCCACTCATGCCTGTTTTAAGCAAGGCTACCAAGACTGAAACACACTCGGAGCCTAAGGTGCTACTCCCCGCTAAGTACGGAGGTCTCCCTCCAGCCTCGCTCTTGCTAGCCTGCAAACTCACTCATCCCGAGCGCGGGGTAGATTGGACTTTTGGGTAGTTTGGCTCTCCGTGTTTCCGTAGGAGCCACCACCTGCCCCCGCCTCTGGCTCCGCCCCTAGCAACGCGCAGGCTTGTGTTGACAACGAGCGGGCTGGCTGCGCCTAGGCCTGGGGGCGGGCCGCCTCGGCGCAATGCGGCCGGTGTTGCGGTGGCCCAGGCCACGACCGGACGTTCGAGGCCTTTTGCGACTCTAGCGGCTCTCAGGCTGCCTTACCTTCCCGGTGGCAGGGTCTCTTTGGACCCAGCGGCTGCCGGCACACTGTAGGGCAGGCGGATTTCCACCCCCCTACCACACACACACACGCACGCTCTCCTCCCCGCTGCCTCCAGCCATGTCCACAGCGGCGGCCGTGGCAACGGCCGAGGCCCAGGAACCCGGCTGCAGGAAGAAGTCCAGCAGTCCCCGTCAAATCCCGGTGGTTGGGGTGGTGACGGAGGACGAGGAGGCGCAGGTATGACCAGTTGTCTGTGCTTTGGGAGGTGGGTGGGCGGGTGTGAGATCTGGGGGAGGGGACTAAGCCTGGGGGTGGCAAGGACGGAAATGGGGACCCGAGTGGAGATGGGGGAACCCGCGGGACAGAGGTTCCAAGCGCAGAGCTGATCTCCTCCCCCGAGAACTGCGCCGCCTGCGAGGGGGACTGGCTGTCGTCAACCAGCTTGTCTGGGGGCTGGTGCTGCATGGTCCTCCTGGAGCATTTCCACTAACCTGAGTAGGCGGGGCTTTGCCCGTGCTACTTCGAAAAGTGTGGTCACGAAGGGACTGGGAGGAAAGAAATCATTCTTAGCCAAATTTGATTTGATGACCAGATGACCGTTTGCACTGGGCTTTTATACGTAGATCCCTGTTATCAAATGATGTTCTTGATATAGGTGTAAATTCTCCTATTGGTTGCTTTTACAAATGAGAACCCTAAAGCCATGAGAAGTTAATTGAGTTCCTAGTACTTAAATGCTGCTGCTATTAAAGCCTGCACCTGGAAGGGAGGACTATGCTGTTAAAATTAGAAATTAAGCATCTTTTTAAATATGCAGTTGGAAGCTGGTGGTTATAGGTTGGGTCGGAGAGAATTGGGAGAGAATAGAATTCATTTGTTTTATTGTGCTGGTACTGAATTTGTTTGGGGTTTGCTTTTGTTATGAATACAAAATGAATACTTCGAGTTGGTCTGTTGAGAAATTTCACCCGTGACGCTAGCTTGGATCTCCATCCGTGGCGGAGGTGTTAGAAACCCTAGGTCGTTTATTTCATACAAGGCTTCCACTGCTCCCCCTGAGAGTCATGATCGTGCCTTAAATGCCATGAATTCTATGGAGGAATCCTGCCCTGCCTCACACTAATGGCGTGGGGCCATTGTGGGAATTCCAGTTGAGGCTTAGCAAGTCTCAGGCTGCGTCAGGAACCCTGTCTCTTGCGTTCACAGCCTGGAGCCTTGGAGAGTTCCTTGGGGGTGGCCAGTTGACTGGGGACCTCTTCTCCCAAGGAAATAGGATCGAGCTCTCTTAGGAGGGTCAGACATTTACATAGTAACCTACAGAGCAACAGCACTTTTGCATGAGGAGGAGCTGGTGTTAGGGGAATTTAGCTAATCGGTTTTGTGGAGGTATTTCCAATATGGGTAGGGAGAAGAACTTTGGGGACACAGTAGCTCTCCACTCACAAGGCTGTAAAGGAGATCAGCGCTACCACTGTACTCCCAGGCACCTGGCAAAACTGACAAGTAGGTGAATTTGGTAACTGATGGCTCTCATTCTTCCTTTACTTGGTGTAAGAAAAATTGGCAATGTTATATGAGTCAGGCAAATATGGGTTAAAATAAAAAAAGAAGAAATACTTTTAACAAGCCATTGCCAAAATAGTCCGTAAAGTACCAAGTAAAACAAAAAGCATCTCCTTTGCTTTTCTTTTATTACTACCACTCCTTCCAGGGCCTAGGATTCTCTTCCAGGAAGAAATCTGTCAGTATGCATTAATTGATGTTCTTGCCTTGTTAATAACTACTTCTAGGAGTAGTAACATTTTTGAAGTACTGAGGGAAAAGGCAGTTTCTACCGAAGAAATGAAATAGAATAGGAACTTTTTAGAGCTGGTTTAGAGATCACTCCGTCTAGTTTTTTGTTTGTGGTTGCTTTTACAAATGCGATCCCCAAAGCCAGGAGAAGTTAATTGAGTTCCTAGAATGATAAATTTAATCTTTTAGACCTCTGCCTCAGGCCAGTGGAGGAAAGACCTTTGGAATTCTTAATGTTTCCAATCCTTTCAAACCATTCCACATGTGCAACATTCTCCTCTACCTGTGTTTTAGAGATAGTATATACTAGTAGCTAAAAGTGAGAATGAGGCTTCAATTCTGTAAGCCAGCTCCATCACTTACCAGCTATGTGACCAAAGGCAAGTATCTTAACTTTTCTGTCAAATGGAGATGATAGTACTCATGGCATTACAAAGACTAAATGAAATAATGTATACAGAGAATTTACACAGTGCCCTATATATTGAAAATATGTAGTTATCAACATCATCATCATCATCCTTTATCCAGATCCAAAATTATTTAGATCTTAAAGCTAAGGGATTCTCTGGAATTCTTAACATTCCCACTGCCTTCAAGGATGTGAAAGTGAGACTAGATCCCCCTGAAATAATACTTGCTTTAATCCAGATTTTGGTCTGTTCACTTTATGTCTTCAGAGATGTTTCTAAGAAGCAGCTGGAGATTTCTTAATATAGAAATGATGCTTTGGCTATCTGTGCTTTTGATAGCTGTTTTGCATCATTTTCTTTATTATAGACCTAAATTTGAAGCATTTCAGTTACCCTAATATGAGTTTATATAATTGAAGAAATAGGGCCGGGCGCGGTGGCTCATGCCTGTAATCCTAGC